TAGTCCTGCATCCTTTTTATTTAACAGCTTTAGCTTATATTACTCCTCTTACATTTTACTACAAGCGACAAGAAGCCAGGTGGCACCTCAAACAGTCTGGCTAAAATCTAGCTAGATTATCCAGTTCCTTAGTGTCTTAGTCATCTAGTGCTGCTACAACAGAAATAGAACAAGTGGATAGTTTTAATGAAGAGAAGTTTATTTCCTCACAGTCAAAGTAGGCTAAAAGTCCAAATTCAGGGCGTCAGCTCCAGGGGAAGGCTTTTTCCTCTCTGTCAGCCTTCTTCTCTTCAGTGTTCCCCTGGACTAGGAGTTTCTCTGTGCAGGGACCCTGGTCCAAAGGACGCGCTCTGCTCCTGGCATTGCTTTCTTGATGCTATGAGGTCCCCCCGTCTCACTGCTCACTTCTGTCTTTTATATCTCAAGAGATTGTCTCAGGACATAATCCAGTCTTGTACATCAGGCCCTGCCTTACTAACACAACTGCCACCCATCCTCCCACATTAACATCATAGAGGCGGGTTTACAACATACAGGAAAATCACACAGTACCAGGAATCATGGCCTAGCCAAATTGATACACGCATTTTTGGGGGGACATAATTCAAACCATGACACTTAGGTACTTTTTTTTTCTTTTAATTGTCCTTTACATGAAGGTTTATGGAACAAACTAGCTTCTCATTGAACAGTTAGTACACGTATTGTTTTATGACATTGGTTAACAACCCCATGACATGTCAATACTCTCCCTTCTTGACCTTGGGTTCCCTGTTACCAGCTTTCCTGTCCCCTCCTGCCTTCTAGTCCTTGCCCCTGGGCTGGTGTGCCCCTTTAGTCTTGTTTTGTTCTATGAGCCTGTCTAATCTTTGGCTAAAAGGTGAATCTCTGGAGTGATTTCATTACTGAGCTAAAAGGGTGTCTGGGGGCCGTACTCTCGGGGTTTCTCCAGTCTCTGTAAGGCCAGTAAGTCTGGTCTTTTTTTGAGTTAGAATTTTGTTTTACATTTTTCTCTAGCTCTGTCCAGGACCCTCTATTGTGATCCCTGTTAGAGCAGTCAGTGGTGGTAGCCAGGCACCATCTAGTTGTACAGGACTCAGTTTGGCTGAGGCCATGGTTGTTGTGGTCTCTTAGTCCTTTGGACTGATATTTCCCTTGTGTCTTTAGTTTTCTTCATTTTCCCTTGCTTCAGAAGGGGTGAGACCAGTGGAATATCTTAGATGGCCGCTCACAGGCCTTTAAGGCCCCAAACCCTACTCACCAAAGTAGAACGTAGGACATTTTCTTTATAAACTATGTTAGGCGAATTGAGCTAGATGTTCCCTGAGACCACGGTCCCCACAGCCCTCAGCCCAGTAATTTGGTCCCTCAGGTTGTTTGGATGTGTCCATGGAGCTTCCATGACGTTACCCTGAACAAGTTGTGCTGGTTCCCCCAGTATTGTGTACTGTCTTACCCTTCCTTCGGTACATTTTTTACTTTCCACATTACTGTAGATGACAGTGTCGTTAAACCTCTGCCATGACATACAAGGATCTCCTCTCCTGCAGTTTCCAATAATGTTTTTCTCACTCCCCTTGAAGCTACTATTGGCAGTCTTCTTAAAGGCCTCGAGGCTTCTGCTAATAGTCTGTTCAAGGAACTTTATTTAGGCTTTCACTAACACTCTGCTCAAAATCCTTCCATCTTCTAGCCTTTGTCTTGTCCAAAGCCACATCCACATTTTTAGGTATTTGTTAAAAACACTCTATGCTTGTTACCCAGATCTGTATGAGTCATCTATTGTTCCATACCAAGTTACCCCAAAATTTAGTGGCTTAAGGCAGTAAGGATTATTTCACACTTTGTGTAAGGATTTTGGGGGTGGCTTAGCCCTTGTGGCGCAGTGGTTAAGAGCTCAGCTGCTACCAAAATGTCGGCAGTTTGAATCCACCAGCTGCTCCTTGGAAACCCTACGGGGCAGTTCTACTCTGTCCTATAGGGTTGCTGGGTTGGAATCGACTGGACAGCAACGGGTTTTTTTGGTTCTAACTGGGGCTTAGGGATCCACTTCCGAAATGACTCATTTACATAGCTTTTGGCAAGAGGCCTCAGTTCCTCTCTGGTTGTTGGTAGAAGGTCTCAATTTCTCAACACATGGACCTCTTCTCAGGGCTTGTTGAGTATCCTTAAGACTTGACAGCTGGCTTCCTCCAAAGCAAGCATTGCAAGAAAGAGGAAGTGGGAGGGTGCAATGTCTTTTTTGTTTAGCCTTGGAAGTCATGCACAATCACTTCAGCCATAGTCTATTTACTAGAAAGTTAAGTCACTAAGTACGGCCCTCAGTGAAGGGGTAGGGGTAGGGGGGAAGTAGGCTCCACGTTTTGAAGAGAGGAATATTGAAGACTGTGTGGATACACTGTAAAACCATCACACTGCCATTTAAGCTGAACAAAATGAGATGTCAACTATGGAAAACATTGCACCCCACATTTCTCATTCAGTTATCTACCTTCTTTCATTCTGCATGGAAATGTTTTTTTAAACTGTGGGTTCTAATCTGTAGGTAGACCATGAAATCAGTTCAGTGGGTTGTGACCAAAAATTTAAAAAAAAAATAGAATAGAGGCAATGCACCACAGTAAGGCCAAATAATCTTTAGTGAAATAATTGTTTCAATTGTGTGTGTGTGTGTGTGTGTGTGTGTGTGTGTGTGTGCATGCACATGTACATGCACATACATGCTGAGCTGCAATGTACAGTGTGTGTATCACAGGGAGTTTTAGTAAAACAAAAAATTTGAGAATCCCAACTCCATAGCATAGAAACAGCAGAGAGAAAGTAGGCTTGTACTTTTGTAATTTCAGATCTCCTTTTTAATCTTTGTTTTAAATTATTCTATAACAAGCATAATCTTTTAACGGTGGGGGACTAAATTATATAAAATATTTAGCTCAGTGTCAACTTGGCTAGGCCATGATTTTCAGTATTGTGTGGTTGTCCTCCATTTTGTGATTTGATGTGATTTTCCTATGTGTTGTAAATTCTACCTCTATGGTTTTAATGAGGCAGGATTAGAGGCAGTTATGTTAATGAGGCAGGACTCAATCTACAGGATTAGGCTGTATCTTGAGTCAATCTCTTTTGAGCTATAAAAGAGAGAAGAGGGCAGAGAAGAGGAGGACCTCATTCCACTGGGTAAGAAGTGCCAGGAGCAGAGCATGTCCTTTGGACCTTGGGTCCCTGTGCTGAGAAGTTCCTAGACCAGAGGAAGATTGATGACAAGGATCTTCCCCCAGAACTAACAGAGAAAGCCTTCCCCTGGAGCTGGCACCCTGAATTCGGACTTCAAGCCTCCCAGACTGTGAGAAAATAAATTTCTGTTTGTTAAAGACATCCACTTGTGGTATTTCTGTTACAGCAACACTAGATAAGTAAGACACTCAGCATAATTGTGAATCATGCCTATTTTACCACAGTGTAGACTACCACATTACAGATTTATTCACCCAATGCATTTTATTGAATGGGCTCATTCATTCAATAAAACAGAGGACCTCCCAGTATGACATTGTAGTAAAGGGCCTGAACCTTGGCTCATTCAAACTGAAGCTATGCCACCTGTAATTGTGGTTTTAGACAAGTTATTTAACCACTTTAGTCCTCAGTTTCCTCCTCTGTAAAATGGGGATGATGATGATAGTAGTACCTACCTCACAGGGTTATTGGGAAGATTAAATGTGGCTAGCAGGGTACTTCGCACTTAGTGTGGTCTAGGTAGATGTTGATTATTGTTCTTCATTGAATATGCTGCTTTCCATTATGGGGGGTGAGGAGATGGGCTGCAGAGAGGTGTTGTCTCTCTAAGCTTTCTTTTTTCCTTTTCTGCAGGCGTCCACTTCCTTGCTGCTAATTAAAATCATTTCAAGGAAAAAAATTCCCTGAAAGTGTTGTTTTTTCATAGGTATTTTGAAAATCCTGTATTTGTTTTTAATTTTATCTTTTTAATAGTAGTCTTGAAGTGATTGGAAGTCATCTCCCCCCTCCCCCCCCAATAAAATGCACTTGTACCTCTTTCAACTCAACTAATGTTTGCTCCCTTGGTGATTCTCTCAATGCACCTATGGCTTAAGCAGGCAAATGCTGTTTGCAAATTTCAAATTTGCGTATTAAGCTTTGCAAATTTGCATATTAAGACCAGGATCTTGACCTAGATTTTATGGAAAGACCTGGAAGAAGCCAAAACTGAGGCTTGGAACTTTGGCCCGGTGGCATGTTGTTGTTCTTAGGTGCCCTCCAGTCAATTCTGAATCAAAGCGACCCCATGTGACAGAGTAGAACTGCCCCGTAGGGTTTTCTAGGCTGTAATCTTTACAGGAGTAGATCACTAGGTTTTTTCTCCTTGTTGAGCCGCTGGATGGGTTCCAACAGCGCTTAACCACTGGGTCACCAGGGCTCCTCGAGTGAGATAGTACTGGCAAAAATGCTTTATCACTAAGTGGTAGTGTTTTTTGTTTTTTTTCACTGAAAGGGTTTGGGAGTGTTGAACCGAAAAAGCTCTCCTATACTTTTTGAAATCTAGACAAACTTTGAAGAATTAAAAAAATGACTAATGAAACAGAGGAGGAGGAATCGAGCTGATTTTCTCCTGGTCCCCTTCTACCACAATAGGTCTTTCCTGATACCTTTTCGGTACTAAAAATCATTTTCTTTAAACGCCTCCAGGCCTCAGTTTATACCCACTCGGCCCACGTGGCTGAGATGGAGGTGAGGGCGGGGGAGTGCGAGCAGGTGGCCCGCAGCATTTGCCCTCCAGCGGTCGGAGGAGCCCCGCGGACGGAGAACCCGGCGGTAGAGACCGAGGCGCGGGAACCGAAAGAAGATCTGCAGCTGGGACCGCGGCCAGACTCCCAGCTCTGCATGTGGGTTGAGGCGTGACCGGGGTGGGCGGGCGGCGCGTGGGCTCCACCTCCAGCCCGCCCGGCACTGCCCCGGCTCCTCCTTCTCCTCTTTTTGCCTGGAAGCCGTCCGGGGCCGCTTCTGTCCGAGTTGTGGCCGCCAAGCCCGAGCTATGCGAGCCGCGGGCCTGGGGGCGCGCCCTTCGCTGGCACTACTGCTGCTGCTGGCTGGAGCCCGAGGATCCACCGGCAGTGCTTTCGACCCCGTCCCGCCGCGCTTCAACGTGAGCCTGGACGCGGCCCCTGAGCTGCGCTGGGTGCCGGTGCTGCGGCGCTACGACCTGGACTTCTTGCGCGCCGCGGTGGCGCGAGTCGTCGAGTGAGCGGGCGCGGGGCCCTGGACGGGTCTGCGGGGCAGGTTTGCCGGGCGCTAATGGCCTGGGTCCCGGTGCGGCAAAGCGTGGAAGCGCGCTGCCGAACGTATTTTAAACCGCGACTCTACAGTTTTTTCCCCTCTTTAACAGCCTCCCCTCCAGCTTACCACTCGGCCTTTGGGGTGTGGAGGGGCGGCGGGGATCAGAACTGGCACTTGCTGCTCTGGGCAGCGTCGGGGTTGAAGCCGATCCGGTGCGCCTGGTTTGGCTTTCAAATTACGTGTTACCTGTGGCACACCCGTCCTCGAGCCGTTCCGGGTCTGGGTGGCGCGCGGGTGCTTCCCCGGGTGCTCCCGTACAGAATAGGGGACGCAGCCCACATCTTCCTTGCAGGCCTCGCGGGCCCCTCAAGCCCACCCCTTTGGGACCACGCTCGTTCGCCCTCCCTGTCCCTCTCAGTTTTTCTTTTTCCCACCCTCCTGGACACTGTGGATTGGGTGATGCGGAGCCTGGGCTGTCCGGACTCTGGGAGAAACGGGAAGCGGTTAGCACTCACTTCTGACCTCTGATGATGAGAACTTTAGATACCCCCCACCCCCAGATACACACATGGTTACATCCCTTTGAGCCCTAAGCAGATCAAACAAGCTCTTGGCTTTTCCTTTCTAGGGAGAGAGTCCCCAGGTACATCTACTCGGTAGTTGGAAAGTTGATGGGGATGCTGGAGCGCTTCCTGCCGCAACCCTTCACTGCTGAGATCCGCAGCGTGTGCGAAGTCTTGAACCTCCCCTTGACCGACTGCCTCCTCATCAACCTGGCCTACGAGTCCACGGCGTAAGTACCCCGTGCCAGCACAGATTAATGTGGGACTTGACTGGGAGGACTCTTGCCACCTGCGAGTGGGTGGAGACGTATTTTCAGGGTAATAAGAACAGGCTGGTGACTGGGGTAAACCAGACACTTCCAACACTTCCTCTTTGCTTTTCTGGTAAATCTGAGCAGCAATTTTGGGTCTAGCGCGAAAGCAGATTCTCTGATCTTGACACTGAACTTTTCTTCTATGTGTGGCCTCCTTTTCTGTCTCCACAAATCCAGGTAGTATCCCACTTTCAAAACTCCCCTCACAGTGCATTTTTCCAGGAAGCATTTGGAATTAACCTTACGCTCATCTGGACCCTTTAGTTAACCAGAGACCCTCCAGCTTTGTAACTTCAGTGGGTGTGGCAGAACTGAGTTGTCTCCCTGCATTTATCCTTGCCAGGTTTTCATAGGTAGGAATCCAGACTGCTCTTTCAGAGTTTGTATTCCTTCAGGGCTAGGGGCATAGGGCCAGCCAGTGTTCGGTATGGGGAGTGAACATGATAACATGCACTCAGAAGTGATATGTGGAATGTGTGGTTGATCTCTGCAGAGTACCAAGCAGCCTTATGGGTTTATTTCCTCAGCAGCTGCTAACCAAAAGGTCATGGTTTGAACCCACCAGCCGCTCTACGTGAGAAAGATGCGGCAGTTGGCTTCCATAAAGATTAAACCAAAACCAAAACCCACTGCTGTCGAGTTGATTCCGACTCAATAGCGACCCTATAGGACAGAGTAGAACTGCCCCATAGGGTTTCCAAGGCTGTAATCTTTCCACATCTTTCTCCCGTGGAACTGCTCGTGGGTTTGAACTGCCGACCTTTCAGTTAGCAGACAAGCACTTAGGCACCACACCATCAGGGATGCTCTGTAAAGATTATCAAAAAACCAAACCCGTTGCCATCGAGTCAATTCCAACTCATAACGACACTATGGGACAGAGTAGAACTGCCCTACAGGGTTTCTAAGAAGCAGCTGGTGGATTCGAACTGCTAACCTTTCAGTTAGTAATCAGTTTCTTAACCAGTGTGCCACCAGGGCTCCTCTGTAAAGGTTATAGCCTCAGAAATCCTATGGGGCAGTGCTGCTCTGTCACATAGGGTCACTATGGGTGACTGGACAGCACAGAACAACAACAACGGCATTGAGCCTACTGGTTTCCAGGTACTTCAGGAACACACAACCACGTGAGGGAGATGGCATTACCTGTTTTGAGATGTGGAAGCCAAGCCTCAGTGGGGTCAGGTAGATGGAGAGTGGTGAGAAGCTGATGCTAAAGCACAGATACCTCCTCTCGACTGCACTGCCTCACCCAAAGCAGAGCCCCTCTCCTTATCTGTCCCCTGTGCTTTTGGGCTACATAACACCAAAACATTTGGGCATGATACAGCAGCAGTGTTATCTTGCCAATTTTGAAAAATCATCTTTAAGAAGAAATTCTACAAACTTTATTTTAGTCACTTCCAGTGTTCTATCAGTCCCCTGCCAAACACGAAATCTTTGAAATTAAGGTCAGAGACTTTGGAAGGAATTAAAACCTGACCAAGCTTCCTTCTTTAAACAAACAAACAAAATAACATTTTTTAATAGACTTTATTTTTTACAGCACTTTTAGGTTTATAGAAAAATTGTGCAGAAACTAGTTTTCATATATATATAGCTTTCTCTTAATTATAAAAGTGATATGTAATCATTATAGAAAATTAGAAAATACAGAAAAGTATAAAGAAGAAAACTAATCATAATTCTGCCAGTAAGAAATGACCATCAATTAAAAGCTTGCAAGCGGCATCTAAGGCACAACGACTGGCCTCTGTTCGCCTGGAGCAGCAGAGGAAGGAGAGTCAGGAATAGGAGGAGGAAAAGGAATATGTGGCTGATGGCCTCTGTCTTAGTTTTCTAGTGCTGCTGTAACAGAAATACCCCAAGTGGATGATCTTTAACAAACAAAAGTTTATTCTCTCACAGTTTAGGAGGCTAGAAGTCTGAATTCAGGGTGCCAGCTCCCAGGGAAGGCTTTCTCTGTAGGTTCTGGGGGAAGGTCATTGTCATCAGTTTTCCCCTGATCTAGAAGCTTCTTGACACAGGGATCCCAGGTCCAAAGGAGGCACTCCACTCTCAGCACTTCTTTCTTGGTGATTTGAGGTCCCTATCTCTCTGCTTGCTTCTTCCTCCTCTTATCTCATGTAAGATAAAAGGTGATGCAGGCCATACCCCAGGGAAATTCCCCTTACTCAGGGCTGTGACTACAGTAAGGGTATTACATTGCACCCTGTAATCCTCTTTAACAAAACCTAATCTTGCCTGACTAACCATGGACAGAAATTAGGATTTACAACATGTAGGAAAATTAGATCACAAAATGGACGACAACCACACAATATTGAGAACCGTGGCCTAGCCAAGTTGATACATATTTTTGGGGGACAACACAATTCAATCCATAACAGCTTCCATGAACAACTGCCTCCTTTGCCATGAGACCAGAAGAAATGGATGGTGCCCAGCTGCCATTACTGAACATATTGATAAAAGATTCCATAGAAGAATCCTGATCAAAAGGAGGAAATACAGAGCAGAATTTCAAATTCTCATGGACTCCAGGCTTCCTGGAGCCATGAAGGTTGGGTGAATCCCTGAGACTATTTCTCTGAGATAGTCTTCAAACCTTAAACCAAAAATATCCCCTGAAGTCTTCTTAAAACCAAACAATAGTTTACCTTAACCAGAAAAAAATGTCTGCCTTGAGCATATTGCCCTTTTAAGAACTATCTATATGGGATCAAAGTGACAACAGCAACTCTAGAGGTTAGATAGGGGCAGTGAATTTATGTTAATAGGGGAGGAACAACTCAGAAAAAGATGGTGAGAATGGTTGCACAACTCGAAGAAGTCGCTAAATGTTAACATGTAGAAACTATTGAACTGGTGTATGTTTTGCTGTGTATATTCTCAACACCAACAAAATGACCATCAGTCGTTTAGGATATTCCTCTCAGCCTTGTTTATGTGGTTTGCATATGTTTCCCCCCAGAATCAGACATGTCGTTGTTAGGTGCCCTGAAGTCGGTTCTGACTTTTAGTAACCCCATGTTCAACAGAACAAAACGCTGCCCAGTCCTGTGCCATCCTCACAATTGTTGCTGTGTTTGAACCTATTGTTGCAACCATTGTGTTAATCCATCTCCTCGAGGGTCTTCCTCCTTTCTGCTGACCTCCTACTTTACCAAGCATGATGTCCATCTTAGTCATCTAGTACTGCTGTAACAGAAATACCACAAGTGGATATCTTTAACAAAGAGAACTTTATTCTCTGACAGTCTAGTAGGCTGCAAGTTCAAATTCAGGGCATCAGCTCCAGGGGAAGACTTTCTCTGTCCTTCTCATCAATCTTCCACTGGTTGAAGAGCTTCTCAGGCACAGGAACCCCAGGTCCAAAGGACACGCTCTGCTCCTGGTGCTGCTTTCTTGGTGGTATGAGGTCCCAATGTCTCTCTGCTCACTCCTCTCTTTTATATCTCAAGAGATTGGTTTAAGACACTATCTAATCTTGTAGATCTCATCAATATAACTGCCGCTAATCCATCTCATTAACATCATATTGATAGGATTTACTACACACGGGCAAATCACATCAGATGACAAAATGGTAGACAATCATACAGTACTGGGAATCATGACCTACACAAGTTGACAGATATTTTTGGGGGACACAATCCATGACAATGTCCTTCTCCAGGGACTGGTCCCTCCTGATAACATGTCCAAAGTAGTGTGACAAAATCTTGCCATCCTTACTTCTAAGGAACGTTCTGGCTGTACTTCTTCCAAGACAAATTTGTTCGTTCTTCTGGCAGTCCACAAAATATTCAATATTCTTTGCCAACACTGTAATTCAAAGGTATCGATTCTTCTTCTTCCGTCTTTCTTATTCATTGTCCACCTTTCACATGCATGTGAGGCAATTGAAAATACCATGGCTTGGGCTAGGTGCACCTTAGTCCTCAAAGTGACATCTTTGCTATTTAACACTTTAAAGAGGTCTTCTGCAGCAGATTTACCCAACGCAATTTGTTGTTTGACTTCCTGACTGCTGCTTCCATGGGTGTGAATTGTAGATCCAAGTAAAATGAAATCCTTGATATCTAATATTCTCTCCATTTATTGTGATGCTCTTATTGTTCCAGTTGTGAGGATTTTTGTTTTCTTTATGTTAAGGTGTAATCCATAATGAAGGCTGTAGTCTTAGATCTTTATCAGTAAGTGCTTCAAGTCTTCTTCACTTCCAGTAAGCAAGGTTGTCATCTGCATATCACAGGTTGTTAATTAGTCTTCCTCCAATCCTGATGTCTGAGAATTGGACATAACTATATAACATTTTTATATAACATAACGTTAAATATTCTCAGAGAATATAGACATTTACATTGTTTTAACAAACGTCCTCCTTTTTTCCAAAAAATACTTCTCTCCAGCTAGGAGTTCTTAAAGGATGCTTGTTCTCTTACCAGCCCTCTGCAAGGGGCTCAAAAGGTGTGGGGGGGGTAGAAGTGTGAGCCAGATACCTTAAAAGAGAAGATCATTTTCTCCAGGAAACATTTGCAGAGCAGAATGGTTCATGGCCATTGTACTTGCTCTGAGAAATTTCTAGAAGGGAGCGATGGCCTTGAGCTAGCTTTGAATAAGGTATTTAATAGAATAGATACCGCCAAGCAGAGGAATAAGCAAAGTTCAGGGGTCTAGCTCAGCCCAGATGGATCCATTTCTCTTAGGATTTAGATTTAGGATGAAATTCCCATTCAGTGTGTTTGTGATGCTTTGTGTGCCATGGGCGAAGGTTTAATAACATGGACTGAACACACAGTTGTGTTCAGTTGTGTTTTTCATCTTGAACTGTGAATGCATGTTCCTGTATAAGGATTATAGCATATGTTATCAATTATAAGAAAGAAAAATGTTGTACTTTGAGGACTTGTCTTAAAAGTGAAAAATTCATTTTTCCTATTTTTCACATTCATTCATGCTGGACTCTTTCCTTTTCTCAGATTCTGCACCAGTATTGTGGCTCAAGATTCCAAAGGCCACATTTTCCATGGCAGGAATTTGGATTATGGTTTTCAAAGTATCTTACGCAACTTGACTGTGGATGTGCAATTCATAAAGAACGGGCAGGTATAGTTGGTACGGTATAAGATAACAAAAATCATTTGGATGACCTGCTAACTAAAGCGTGCTGTCAGTGTAAGATATAAAAATCATCAAAACCCGTGGAAAAACCAAACCAGGAGAATTATTTATATGAATTATTTTTTTTTTTAAATTACACTTTAGATGAAGGTTTACAGAACAAACTGACTTCTCTTTAAAGAATTAATACACATATTGTTTTGTGACATTGGTTACCAACCCCACGACATGTCAACACTCTCCTGTTCTCGACCTTGGGTTCCCTATTACCAGTTTTCCTGTCCCCTCCTGCCTCCTAGTCCTTGTCCCTGGGCTGGTGTGCCCCTTTAGTCTTGTTTTGTTTTATAGGCCTGTCTAATCTTTGGCTGAAGGGTGAACCTCAAGAGTGACTTCATTACTGAGCTAAAAGAGTGTCCGGGGCCATATTTTTGGGGTTTCTCCAGTCTCTTAACACATTAAATAGTAAGATTTAGCAGTGGGTCTAGTAACTCCCATGATTTGAGAGTAGTGATGAACGTGAATGGTATTTTAAGCACTGCAGCCACTGCTGTATGTGTGAAAGTACCTGTGATTTCTACTGGTGACAAAAATCACAGACGCTGCTATTACTACATGACTTGTTGCATGCATTCTTCATAGAAGGAATTCAGTTTCTGTTAGAGGTTAGTGAAAATAGACATGTACTTTTTTTTTTCATCTAAGGTTACAGATCCACTGAATTCTATCCATGGGCCTCCAAGGTTAAGAACCCATATTCTAGAAGGCTATTGCAGAGTTTTTATTCTATTATGTTGGAACTTATAAGAAAAAAAAAAATCATGGGATTTGTGTGGTGAGACAGATGATTTCGCTGTGTTTTTGGCTGAAACAGTAAAATGGTACTTTGTCTCTTGATTTCAGATCGCATTCACAGGAACCACTTTTGTTGGCTATGTAGGACTGTGGACTGGTCAGAGTCCATACAAGTTTACTATCTCTGGCAATGAACGAGGTAATCAGAATGAACTTGCAAGCACTTTTAGCCATATCCCTGTTCAATTCTTTCCAAGTACTTTATTCTCTTACCTACGACTCTACATCTGCTACAGGGTAGTAACTTCCTTTCTAGTGGGGAGAGATGGACAGTAGGCATGTAAACAATAGGAGAATTCTAGGTAGTAATGAGTGCTACAAAAGAAGTAAAACGGGAAGAAGCGATACAGAGTGAAGGAGCAGGTAGGGCAGTTACTGGAGGTAGAGGGTCAGGGAAGGCCTGACCCATGTGGTCCTGGAGCAGTTCTGCAAAAGCTGAGAGAAGACTATTCCCGATGGAAGAAACAGAAATGGCAAAGGCCATGGCTAGGAATAAGCTTGGTGTGTTCCAGAAAGAAAAGAAGGCCCGTGTAACCACAGCATGGATGTAGGAGGAGGAAAGCCGAGGCCAGATTATTCTTGACCATGGGGAGGAGTTTGGATTTTAAGTGTAATGGAACCGTAGGAGGTATTAGTCTGGGAGTGACCAGTTCTGGTTTATGTTGTGAGCTAATCACTTTGTCTCCTCTGTAAAAATGGGATTGTGTTGGGTTAAAATAGAAGCAGGAGTCCATTAGGAAGCTATTGCAGTAATCTAGAGGGTATATGATATTGTACATCACTTTGCAGTTCACTGTGTACTCTGTCACATATTTTCTCGTTGTTGTTGTTAGGTGCCATTCAATCGATTCCAACTCATAGTGACCCCACGTGGCAGAGTAGAACTGCCCCATAGGGTTTTCTAGGCTGTAATCATTATGCAGGTCTTTGTCCTGTGGAGCTGTTGGGTGGGTTGGAATAGCCAACCTTTCAGTTAGCAGCCAAGTGCTTAATTGTTGCACCACCAGGGCTCCTTGTTTTCTCATTAGACCCTCACAACATTGCTGTTACTCAGGCAGGGCTGATGTTATCAGTCGCATTCACTATACAGAGGAGGAAACTGAGACTATAAGATGACATGGGAGTCCCGGGATGATGCAGACAGTTAATGTGCTTGGCTGACAACTGAAAGGTGGTAGTTCAAGTGCACCCAGAAGTGCCTTGGAAAAAAGGCCTGGCAATCTACTTCTGAAAAATCAGCCGTTGAAAACCCTGTGGAACACAGTTTTACTCTGAAACACATGGGGTCACTGCGAGTCAAAGTTGACTCGACAGCACTGGTTTTAGGTGGTGGAGGCAGTTCTCAAATTGGTCTTCTGAGTACTGGCCCGCTTGCCCTGTTGTCGCACAACAAACCTCAGGGGAACATTGTTCAGGTCCACAATATGTGGGAAATCCAGAGATATACCAACTCTTGTCTCTGACCTCGGGAACTTGCAGCTGAGAAAGGAGGAAGACATACACAAAGAATATCAAAAGTTTCATTTTGGCCTCTAATTAACTCCTGACTTCTTCTTGTTGGTTCCTTTTGTTAGGTTTATTCCTATCTTTCTACTTAAGGCTGTACCAGGTATGAGTATATATCGTGTCCACAGTAGTCAATTCTTTATCCTAATATATTTATTCAACATTTTCTCAAATATCAGCTGTGAGTGAGACCTGGTTCTCAACCAGTTACTCAAGTCACAGCATGACATTTACTGAAGTTTTTAACAGAATATCTGAAAACATGTACATTTATTAAAAAGAGGCTTTTGTTTTCATCATTTTACAATTCAAATTGACAGACTGATTAGTAGAACCTAAAGTGTGAGCAGTTTAAAAATAACTGAATTAGTCTACATCATACACATGAAATAAATATTCTCAAACTGCTTTTTTATAAAAAAAATTATTTTGTTGTTGAGAATATATACAGCAAAACTTACACAAATTGAACAGGTTCTGCATGTACAATTCAGTGATATTGATTGCGTTCTTTGAGTTGTGCGACCATTCTTACCTTCCTTTTCTGAGTTGGTCTTCCTCCATTAACATAAACTTACTGCCCCCTAAGATTCTTATGTAATCATTTGAGTTACTGTTGTCACTTTGATCCCATATAGATACATCTTGAAAGAGCATAGTGCTCGAGGTAGACATTTTTTGCTAGTTAAGCTAAATTATTGTTTGGTTTTAAGAAGACTTAAGGGGATATTTTTGGTTTAAGGTTTAAAGATGATCTCAGTACAGTAGTTTCAGGGGTTCACCCAGCCTCCATGGCTGCAGAAAGTCTGGAATCCATGAGAATTTTAAATTGTGTTCTGCATTTTTCCCCTTTTGATCAGGATTCTTGAATTTTCGATTAAAATGTTCAGTAATGGTAGCCAGGTACCATCCATTTCTTCTGGTCTCATGGCAAAGGAGACAGTTGTTCATGGAGGCCATTAGCCACACATTCCATTTCCTCCTTCTATTCCTGACTCTCCTTCTTCCTCTGTTGTTCCAAGCTTGTGCTCCTTGGATGGCCATATGCAAACTTTTAAGACCCCAGGCATTACACAGGAAATAGGAGGTAGAACAGAAGCACAAACATGATATTAGGCCAGTTACCTGGGATGTCCATGAAACCATGGCCCTAAACCTCCAAACCAATAAACCAAATCCCGTGAAGTGTTTGGTTTTACATAAGCAGCCTCAGTGCTCCTTTTTGTTTTTTGTTTTTGTCTTTGTTGTTAACATTCTATCACATGACTTTTGCTGATTCAACTTTTTACAGGTTCAAACTGCTTTTTAAAGATTTCTTGAATTTTTTTTTTTTTAACCTACAATTGAGCTAGAATGCCTGAATAACAAGGCAACATCTCTTGATTAATAAAAATAATTAAGAAATAGTGAAAGAGGTATTTCAGAGTAATAGTCTCGGTGGTTCCTCTAATTACTGGTCCAGTAGGTATGGCCTTTTTTAAGAATTTGAGTTTTGTTCTACATTTTTCTCGCATTCTATCTGGGACCATCTTTTGTGTCCCTAGTCTGAACGGTTGGTAGTGGTAGCCAGGCACCACCTACCGTATTTTTACGCAAATAACGTGTGCCTTCTGTGTTTGTTTGCTGGCCACACCCGCCCCCCACAAGGCGCCCTCACAAGCACCGCTGTGCCAGTCCTCTTCCACATGTTGCTGTAAGAAAAAAATGAGCAGTTCTTCTAGTCTCAGGGTAGATGAGACCATGATTCGTGTAGACTGTTAGTACTGTAGACTACTTTCTTCTCTTGAGTCTTTGGTTTCCATCTTTTTCTTTTGCTCCAGACAGGTAAAGACCAATCATTGTATCTTAGATGGCCACTCATAAGCTTTTAAGACGCCAGATGCTACTCACCAAACTAGGATGTAGAACATAAAGTTTATGAACTATGTTATGCCAATGGACCAAGTTGTCTCATGAGACTATGGTCCTAAGCCTTTAAACCCATTAAACCAATCTCACAAGGTGTTTGGTTATGTCTAGGGAGTATCCATAACTGTGTCCCCTATGTGCTTTATTGTACATATGAATATGTATGCAGCACACTCTTACATGTATATACATACGCTTACAGATGCACCTATACATGCACGTATACCTTCCTATACAGGTATATGCATACATACTTACCTGTGTAACCACACACATATTTTTGGTTGTCTTTGCAAAATTGTATATGTTATATAGCATTTACCAAAAATGTCCCTTTTTCTTGTGTACTTCTTAGTATCATTATTTATCTTGGTCAAGTTGTGCATACTTCACCCACATTCGGTACTACCTTTCCCATCACCGAGAAAAACAAGTGTTACTGTCCAGAGGAGCCTTGGTTCCCCGTGGTTAAATGCTTGAGGTTGGCAGTTTGAACCCACAAGCTGCTATGTGGAAGAAGGATGTGACAGTCTGCTTCTGTAAAGATTACAGCCTTGGATACCCTATGGGGCAATTCTACTCTGTCCTAATAGGGTCGCTATGAGTCAGAATCAACTCAATGACAATGGATTGCTATCTAGAAAGTGATCCCCTCTTCCTCCCCCTCCCATCCCTGGTGATCACCAATGAATGCTGATTTCTGTATGTATACCTATTCTTTTTATAAAAGTCGGATCATACAGTATTTGCCCTTTTATAATTGACTTATTTCACTCAGCATAATGTCCTCCACATTCATCCATGTTATGTTTGAGAACTCATCATAATTCTTTATAGCTGCATAGTATTCCGTTGTATGTGTGTACCACATTTTATTTATCCATTCATCCGTTGATGGGCGCTTAGGTTGTTTCCATCTTTTTACTATTGTGAATAGCGCTGCAATAAACATAAGTGTGACACGCTAGATTCTTTTGTTCACTGTTAAATTCCAAGGGTCTGGACCAAGTCGGGATGTGGCACATAGAGGAGCCCTGGTGGCAAGGTGGTTAAGAGCTACGGCTGCTAATGAAAAGGTCGGCAGTTTGAATCCATGAGCCACTCCTTGAAAATATAGAGGATGCTCAACACTTATATCTTGAATGAAAATTCGTCTTTGGAAATAAATCTCCTTCAGAGATTTTGAAAGACATGAAAAAGTAGTTTTGGGGAATGATTGTACATTTGTCAATTTTTAAAAATCTGAGCTCAAATCAAACTTAAAGTTTTGAAAGATATTAAATTCCTTACATTTTTCCTAATACTTATTGGGCTACTTCTCTTATGCCACTTGGCTTTCTTTTGCCTGGGGGGAATTATAGGATGCTTCTCTTAAACATCATTACCACTGTATCCTGGTACAAAGGGAAGGTACTCTTGAAATTTGAGGGAATATTTGCATATTTTTGCTTGCTGAAAGATCATATGTGTTTACTGCGTGTGTATATATATGTAATGTAGATTTTTTTATGGTTGACGTGAGATTCAAGCTTAATCTTTGACAACTGCATGCCGGTAAAATGACTATTCATCAACTAACTTTCCTCTTCTGTCAGCTTTTTGGGAGTTGTAAAATGGGAAAGAAACAAGATTTAAGGAATTTTTAAATTGGTGCTTGGACAGCGGTATGTGTATTTAGTTCTTGGTCCTTCCTCATCTTGGCAGGTGGCGGCTGGCAGTGGGAGCATGTGATCAAGGGCCTTATTTATAGACACTCCATGGTCAGCTGGCTTATCCGCTCTGTGAGTATATTTTCTGTGGAGCCCACCTCAGCCCAACTTCTTCCAAACCCAGTGTTCATGCTGTGGTGCTCTGTGTCATTCAGTGTTGTTTTTAATATAAGAAGCTTCTGAAAAGAATAAACATCTCAGTGATGCCTTGATGTTTGCAAACTGCATATAAATCTTTTTTATAATAGGCTAGAGTTTTCTGCAGTAACTGATTGAGGTAAGAAATAACAAGCTTTTTCACAGATATAGATATGCTCTGCTTTTTAGAATCTCCTTTGCAAATATCCCAGTTAGGAAAACAAATGCATTAGAAGGTAGCTTTGCATACAACAAAAGGAACATCTGCTTTCCATGAACCTATTAAATGAACAGGGTTGCATATCACATATAAATTATAATCTGATGCACAGAAAGCCCATTTTCAGGTACAAGGATCTAGCCCTGCCTGACTTTAGCCTTTTTGGCCCCTCCTTCCCTTGCTCTAAATTTTCTGGCCCCACTGGACTTCTTGCAGTTCTTGGAAACCTTTTTGCTAGAGTACTCCCTAAGTACAGTGAAAAACTATATATCCCTTACACTTTTAAGCAGCAACAAATCCAGTGTTTGTAAATGTTGACATTAAAAAAAAAAAGACACGCACACACTTAATTTAAATCTTGCCAATGGAATAGAAAGACAATAATGATTTAAAAATCTATTTAGATATAATTTACATACAATAAAGTGCACAGATCTTAAGGGTTTAGTTCAATGTGTTTTGACAGTTGCATATACATGTTTATCCATGTAACCACCAACAAAACAAGATATAGAACATTTCTATTTCCCTGGAAAATTCCCTTATGATCCTCTCCACCCTGGGGAAACTTTTTCTTTTCTCAGTATGTTTTTCAGATGCATCCATGTTGTTGTGTGTATCGGTGGCTCATTCCTTTTTGTTACTAATGACTATTCAGTTGTATGAATATGTTACTACGTGTTTATCCATTTTACTGTTGGCAGACGTTTGAGTTGTTTTCAGTTGTCTGCTATTATGAATAAGGTTGCTATGGAAATTCTTGTATGAGTCTTTTTGTAAAAATATGTATTCATTTCACTTGGATAAATGCCTAGGAGTGGAATTGCTGGGTCATGAGTCAAAATCAGTTCAATGGCAAGTCACAACAATGAAAGTAGATGTACATTTAATTAAAAAAAAAACAAAGACTTTTTGAGGTGTAATCCACATTATAGAGTTAGCCTATTTAAAGTGTACAATTCAGTGGTTTTTAGTATATTCACAAAGTTGTACAACCGTTGCCACATTCAATTTTAGAACGTTTTCTTCCTTCCAAAAAGAACCTGCTTACCCATTAGCAGTTACTCCCTATTTCCTCCATTTCCTGACATAGGTAAGGCACATGCCTTCCCCTGAGTTTGTCAGCTCAGTGAAGTAAGTCACTACTGTCTTCAGTATTTCTTACTGATGGCCTTTTTTTTTTTAATTCTAGGAAAAATATATATAACAAAACATTTGCCAATTCAACAATTTTTACATGTACAATTCAGTGACATTGAGTACTTTCATCATATTGTACAACCATCACCACTATCCTTTTCCAAATTATTCTACCACCATTAACAGAAACTGGGTGTCCCTAAGCAATATCTCCTCCTGTTCCCGTCCTTCCTGCCCCTAATAAGCTTTGGTCTCTATACATTTTGCCTATTTCATATAAGTAAGATGATACAAGATTTGTCCTTTGACTGACTTATTTCATTCAACATAATGTTTTCAAGTTTCAACTGATTTTTTTTTTTTTTTAAACGTGTTCTCATAGAAATCTCTGCTGGGGTGATGCATTCTTTGACAGTAGTTGGGGAATGGTATAGGCAATATGATCGAACAAGTATTCCAGCATTCCTACTTCCTCTTTTTATAATTTCAAAACAAATCAACTTGCCAAAATTCCTTACCCCTAACAGCAATATGGATAAAGCAAGGAAAAGCATACAAAGCCCTACTATGGGTTTACGGTTAATAGCACGTTGAATGCTGGAGCCTTTGCAGACACCGATGTTGGAACTGTTCCTTTGATTGACCCTATCCCCATCCCTACCCTTGACGATGTACCTTGGCAATATTCAAGATAGATGAGCATAAAATGTCCTTCTTTCAAAAAATGGTATAAGAGTGACTGTGAAGGTGAAGGTGGGAAGGACAGGACATCTACCCAGGATGTTTTTGAGCAGATCAGCTTAGAAAAGAGCACTTAGGGAAGACGAAGATTTAGAAAGTGATCCCCTTAACTATCCCTGCCGACAGACGTCTGGAAAGTCTTCATGGCCTCCAAAAACAAACAAATAAAAAAAAACAAACCCATTGCCACTGAGTCAATTCTGACTCATAACGACCCTGTAGGACAGAGTAGAACTGCCCCAAAGAATTTCCAAGGAGCAGCTGGTGGATTCGAACTGCCGACCTTTTGGTTAGCAGCTGAGAGGTATCTAACTACCAGTTTAAGATCACTATTCTAATGTAGCATACTCTCTTTCATCTCCAAGCCTTTACCAGTTTATTCCATGGAGCTAGAACTTTCTTCCCCACTTCCACCCCAACCTCCCAGCCACCATTTTCAGCAGACTAACTTCTACTGATCCAATGGGTCTCAGCTCATGTGATACTTCCCTGGGATGCCTTCTCTGATGTGCTAGTTGAGGGTGACTGCTACAACTTCCATAGCATCTGTTTCTCCTTTGTCTCCTTTGGTGACACATTATACTGTGTCACCATTGCCTGTTGACTTTTCCGTCTTCCTTGAAAGTCTGGGAGAACAAGCACTGGATCTGTCGTAGTCACTGCTCTATCCCTGTACCAGCACAATGCCCAGCACATAGTAGGTGTTCAAGAAATACGTGTTGAGAACACTGTGGTAATTCCAAAGTTTTGCTTACCTTTAGTGCTTAGTGCTGATAAATAATAAAAATAACATAGTCTCGGAGGTGGGGGAAAAAACTTTTTGAAATAACAGATGATTGAAGAAATGTGGGGAGTCTCTTGTGAGGGTGACCTGCCTAGAAAGCACACAGTCTGTGTTTGATGAGTCAGACCTAGAACTTGTCAACTTCCAGCTCCCTACTTTTGTGAGAAAAATCCTGCTTCTGTGGGAGCCCCCCTGAAGCTGAAATTTCTTCCATCTCAGGAGCCCTAATGTCAAAAGGATGAATGAGGTCAGAGCAATTTTCAGATGTAGTCGTGGCTTAATATATCAAGAGAATGTTCTTTGGACTATTTGTCCATCTGTTGGTGTGGACCACTAATGCACATTTATCCTTTTGTTCAGACCCTGAGTGAGTCAAACAACTTTGCAGCAGCTGTTTATAAATTGGCCAAGACTCCCCTGATTGCTGATGTTTATTACATCGTTGGTGGCATGTTCCCTGGGGAGGGTGTGGTCATCACAAGGAACAGAGATGGCCCAGTGGACATTTGGACGCTAGATCCTTCGAATGGAGCGTAAGTAGAATTGAGGACTCTGGTCATTCTGTATCAAATAATATATTTTTGTAATTGGTGAAACTAGAGGCAATTTTATACATCTCTTCTTTATCTGTGTCCTGAGTGACCTCGGATAAGGCAAGATATGCTTTTTTTTAGGTGGTTCCGAGTTGAGACGAATTATGACCACTGGAAGCCAGTGCCTGAAGAAGACGACCGAAGGTAGACCTCTCTACTCTTGCTAGTTTACAGTGCTTTCTTGTGGTCAGGAGAAGGAGCCCGTCCTATTACAGGAACTGAAGAGGACTACAAGTGCTATTCCTTACCAGAAAATGTCCCTGGGCTCCCTTGCCAGTGCTTTGGCTGGGCTGGGAGAGTGTAGTGCGTGGCGGAGCGCACTGGGGAAAGCCTCTTGGGCAGTTGTGTGGTGTTGGGAGAGTGAAGTTGGCCCTGGTCTCAGAGTCAGGAACCCTAGATTCTACCACCAGCCCTGCTAGTGACTCACTGGCTGACGTCTGTGGGCCTCTCTTCACCAAAGAGATAGGACCAGATTCATGGTCTTCTGTGTAGGACTTTGTTGGGAAGGAAAACATTTCCCTTACTTCAATAAATAAACCAGTCCAAGGGTTTTCATTGTCCCTTCTAATTTTGAAAATTCTGTAATTTTAAGTCTAGGAGCCTAGGTGGCACAAGCAGTTTGTGATTGGCTGCTAACCTAAAGGTTGGTGGTTTGAACCTACGTAGTGACTCCTTGGAAGAAAGTCCTGTTGAACTGCTTCCTTAAAGATTACAGCCAAGAAAACCCTACGGAGCAGTTCTACTCTGTAACACGTGGAGCTGCCATGAGTCGGAATCGACTCAACGGCAAAACAACAACAGAATTATAAGTCGGTACGTCCCCAAATAGTGGGTAGTTAATTATATACCTCATCTTTACTGCCCCAGGAGTGTGGTGGCAGCTGTTCAGTTCTGCAGCACCACATTTTCACCCTCTTGACTCCCTTGAGCAGATGGAGTCAACGGCCCAGCTGTTGAATCGATTCCACCATGGTGGTCTGAGCCTAGGCAGGAAGCATGCTTGGGGGCCAGAGCCTGTTTTGGACAAAGGGTGGTAATGAGGGTATGCCTTGTGTTGTGCCTCCCAAAAGGAGATCTGATGGGATTCAGGGTTTTCTGAAGTGCTAAGTGACCTTTAACCTCTGTCCTTACAGGACACCTGCCATCAAAGCCCTTAATGCCACTGGCAAGGCAAACCTCAGTCTGGAGACACTATTCCAGGTAACTTGTGTTGTTGTGTCCGGCTTTTACCGAGGGTGTTTGATGTCTTTGTTAATAGTAATAATAATAATAACAAAATTATCCTCTGAAATCACATGCATTAAAAAACAAATGTAGTAGATGAAAATGTTAGAGTGAATGTTTAAAACCAAAAAACCAAACCTGTTGCCACTGAGTCGATCCTGACTCATAGTGACCCTATAGGACGGAGTAGAACTGTTTCCAAGGAGCGGCTGGTGGATTCGAACTGCCAGCCTTTTGGTTAGCAGCCAAGCTTTTAACCACTGTGCTACCGGGGCTCCAAATGAATTTTTAAAACCCATAATTCGTCGTCGTTGGGTCGATTCCAACTCATAGCAACTTTGTAGGACAGAGCAGAACTGCCCCATAGGGTTTCTAAGGAGCAGCTGATGGATTCCAACTGCTGACCTTTTGGTTAGCAGCCAGGCTGGTGAATGTTTAGCTGGCTGCAAATATTAAAAAAAAAAAAAGTCAGATAACATTGTCTGAACTGGTTTATGTATGGGTTAAAGAATCCATCTCATCTAAGTTTTTGTTCATATTTTTAAAAAACTGGCATAATTGTAATATATGTTCATTATTTGAAAGAAAAAACTTCTACCACCCCAAGATTCACTGCAGTGTTAAGGGCAGATATTCTTTCTATAGATATTCTGCATGTATTTCTTCTAACCTTTAATATTCTTTCTAATATGATTTTTTTTTCTATACAGGTTTTGTCAGTAGTTCCAGTTTATAACAAGTAAGTTACATATTAAACATACCTGTTCATAAGTCCCTAAGAATGGTGAATTCATTCACACACACACTCTCTTGCTCAGTAATGATACGAGCGTTCCCATGGACCAGGCTTTCTAGGTACTGTGTGTACAACAGTGAACAAAACTAAGCCCCTGCTTTCATGGGACTAACATTCTAGTGGGACGGGGCAGCAGGAAAACAAATATACGTCAGGTGAGAAGTCCTGTGAAGAAAAACAAAGGTAAGAAGAATAGAGAGACGGGGAAGGAAGAGGGCAATGACGTGTTCATCCTAACTCAAAACACAAACGCTAAAACCAAAAGCACATGCTCACAAACCCTGATTTGTAGCATTTGCCCGTTTTCATGGTGTAAATACTTTCACCATGGCCAATTTCAAACACAGTTGGGTCTTAAATTCCTGCATAGTTAACAGTTGGTGCTCGCCAGCCTGAGGGAGTCGGCTTCAGCACACCACTGATGGTGCTCCTTCCAGTGGGGAACAGACTCTTATATAGCACAGTGGAGGCACAATTTTGCCCTTTCAATATTCATTTTAAATTAGGGTTAAAAACCTGTATTTGTCTTCTTATCTATTTTTATGGTTATATAAATAATGTGTCTTTTAGAAATTAGTATCATAATAAAATAATTACACTTATTTTAATAAAACAAAGCATTTCTCCATGTTATTGATCACCCCTTATAATTATATTTTAAAATAACTATATAGTGACGAGTGTTGTTGGTTGCCATCGAGTCAGTTCCAGCTCGTAGCGACTCTGTGTACGACAGAATCAAACACTGCCCAGTCCGCTGCCATCCTCACAATCATTGCTGTGTTTGAGCCCATTCTTGCAGCCACTGTGTCAGCCCATCTCATGGAGGACTTTCCTCTTTCTCGCTGACCCTCTACTTTACCAAGCATGATGGCCAATAGGATGTACTATATTGAGTTAGTGGAGCCCTGGTGGTGCAGTGGTTAAGCATTCAGCTGCTAACCAAAAGGTTGGCTGTTTGAATCCACCAACTGCTCCTTGGAAACCTGTAGTTCTACTCTGTCCTATAGGGTCACTGTAAGTTGGAATCGACTCGACAGCAACGGGTTATATTGAGTTAACAGTTCTCCAACTGTTAGTTTTTCCTCTATTAAAAATCTGAAATAAATATATTTGTACATTTTCCCCTGCTTTTGGATTATTTCCCTTGGCTGAATTCCTAGAGGTAGGATTACTGAGTTAAAAGGTACCAGTGTTTAAATAACTCTTGAAACATTTTTTCAAAATCAAGCCTAAATTTGTTATAACAATATAAACAGCTTACTAAGTAGCGTGTATCTCTATTTTATAACTGAAAACCCAAGAGGAACTGCGTTTAAATAACAGTCACCATTGAGCCAGGATTAACACAGATCCCCCACTCTCAGGCCTTTTACATGTAATGATTAACAATGACTAAGGCAGTTCAAACTGTGTGAGGCTGAAAGAAAGGAATCTGAACATTAACAGTTAGCTCTGTGCTGCCACAAAATTACACTCACCTGCGACACAACTCCCTCGTCTGTGGCCATAAAAAGACCTGTTGCCCTGGAGTTGATTCTGACTCATAGGGACCCTATAAGACAGTAGAACTGCCCCCATAGGATTTCCAAGGAGCTGCTGGTGAATTCAAACTGCCGACCTTTTGGTTAGCAGCCAAACACTTAACCACTGCGCCACCAGGGCTCAGTGAAAATACTAAAGCAGAGACAGAGAATAGACTAGACTAAAGCAAAAAGTAACTGAGGTCCTGTTCAGAGAACCTCCATTACTTTTGGACATGAGCCATGCAGGTGCTCATAGTGCTGTCTCCAACCTATAATTATCTTGGGACATAGCACACCTCATTCTACCTGTTCCTGAGCAACCCAGGTCTAGATGCTTTGAGCAGAAATTATGTATCCCAGCTGATTGCCAAGACAATTGGTAAAAGAGGGGAGTGAAGGGGTGCACCCTATGTATGCATGCACAGTGCACATATATTCAAGTTGTTTGGGTCTCTTGCAATACAGAATCTTAAATAAATGAAATTATACTTTTCAGTACCACCCTTAGACCTGGACAAAAGGGGCCCCTGTCTTGATCCATGAGTATTAGAGGACTCTGCCTTCCTCTGTCTGTGACCCTCCCCTTGATATAAGGAGTCCAAGAACCCAGGACCCTGGATTTCTCAGCTTCAACAGCCTCAAGCCCGTTTCCAGGGCGTGTGTGCAGTCTTCTTCCCTGGGTGGCATTCTCCTGATGGGGGTGTGCAGCCATTGTAGACATCCTGTGTTTGTTTGCTGGGGAATGTGTGTGATGCATAGACCTGAAGGCTGAGGTGTCCGCATGCATGCACGTATGGCCCCTTGTGGGATAGGACAGAGCCAGGAGTGAGAGGAGGAGGGGACAGGCCATGGGTGAGGGCCAAGGCTGGCTCTGCCTCACTGCCACAGCATGAAACTCTGAGGAGTCTGAGAATTTTAATTTATAGCTTAGCCTTCTGCATTGTCGTCAAGTAGAAGGAAAGAGCACTCTATTTAACTGACAACTTGATTTGTAAATTTATGCATACATAATAAATTTTAATTTTTCTGACATTTGCAAGCCGCCATTTGTACTCTTGTCCTAGGTCCCAAGTGTTAGGGAGGGACTTGGTATTGTGTTCCCTTTTTTTGGACTATTAGGGAAATTATGTGTATATAAAAATTCCTTTCATTATTTTCAGCTGCACAATTTATACTACAGTAATGAGCGCTGCCTACCCAGACAAGTACATGACTAGGATCAGACACTGGGGTTAAAAGTAAGTAAGCATAAGAGTGAATTCACCCATGTTACAGAAGATTTGCTATTTTTTTTTTGTGGGGGGGGCATGGAGATGCTGATATTTCTCACAGAAGATGGTAGCATCCTTAAAATTTATACATACATACAGGCATCTGGCATATGATTGTCATTTATGTCAGATTGATTGTCATTACTAGGTATTTTGTTTTGAATTGTTTATATGAAAACTCATCTTTTCCCTTATTAAAACCCACTCTCAGGGCAGAATGTTAACTGACATGAGGGATAAACACCTGGTAAGATTTATATATTCCCAGAGTAATAGTGAAATCCAGAACCTTTGTAGCATGGGAAGACAGATTGTTTCGGCAAACGACACTTATAGAATTTATTTCAGACACCAGTGAGCCCATAGAAGAGGGGAAGGACATGTGGAGAAAGCAGGAGTCCTTTCTGCTGTCCCTGAAATCAAACCTTATTGGCAGCCACTTCCTGAAAGGCCACCAGTCCCTACTGCAAGCATATTCTGGAGTTTGTAAACCTGACCTGATGTTTTGGCTCACATATCAGGGGAGTGTTAAAAAACAGTGTTTGAATTAAATTTTTTTTTTTTTCCCTTACAGGTGTTTTTTTAAAAATGAAGTTCTTGAAGAGCTGCACTTTAAAAAATAAAAAAAGTGAAGTCTTGTACTATTTTATAAAAGATATGGGCTCCCTCCACATTAAACTTTTGAGTAGGGGCATAAGATCACTTTGGAGTTTGTTTTGGTAAAGTGGGTAATAAGTATCGTCCTGCATTCTCATTTGCCTTGGCTCTCCCTAAACTTCTTCTGTAGCCCTGGTGGCATAGTGGTTAAAGAGCTCGGCTGCTAACCAAAAGGTTGGCAGTTCAAATCCACCAGCCACTCCTTGGAAACCCTATGGGGCAGTTCTATTCTGTCTATAGGGTTGCTATGAGTTGGAATCGACTTGATGACACCTAACAACACAGCAACAAGCTTCTTCTGTCCTAGCTTGAACAACTCAAAGTTAAATGGTCTTAGAGGTCATCCTTAGGCTTTATTCCTAGCTTATCCAATAACATAGAGCTATGTTACTAGACCTCAGTTTACCAGCTGAGGAAGTGAGCTGGCAAGACCTCTTTGTTCATTGTAAAGTCCTTCTGGAAGAGCCAAAGAAAAAAGACTTTAAAAAAATTTTTTTCTAGCTTGAATAGAGCCTTGTTTCAATGCTTGTTAGTCTGACCTTTGATCACGTATGGAATTTTAATTTTTTATAATGTTGCTAATGCATTTTAAAAAAATGATGGACCGTCTTTTTTCTAAGTAGCTACTTTCTTACTGCTTTTGAAAAGCAAATTATTTCTGATTGTTACGTATCATTGGTTAGTAAAAGTTGGAAGAGATGTTGGCAAAGAGAATAAAGACATTTTCTAAGATATTTAGAGGTGTGTTCTCCCTACTTTCTTATACCTACAGTCTTGTAATTGTGAACAGCTGCCCTGCGAAAGCAGCTCTCTTAGATATTAAGTGCCAGAATTCAAGTAAGTGCACGGCTGCTTTGTAGGATTTGATTTTTCTCACCTGTACATGAAAGAAACTGCTTTGATGATGAAGTCAGAAAAGGTTAAATGCATGAACAAAGGAGTTTCGATTGGATGTTCTTGTTTAGTGTACCAGCAGAACAAAGGAAAATGCAATGTCTAGAGTGAAATGTTATATAGAAGTACAGCTCATCCCTGCCCCACCATACTGCATACCTCCTTGGAGCCCAGATTGTTCATACTTCTTCTTGGATAGTGTTGGATAAACAATGATAAATTCCCATCACCCAGTGTCCTTTTGAAATCAAACGTCAAAAGTAGCTTACTCATGCCAGACACATTGTACTACAGTTTAGAAATTTCTATTCATTAATTACATTCCATTCTATTTTCCTTGAAAATATGCCATGCTATTTGGATGGAAATTTGGAAAATATTCTCATTTTAACCAGGCAAAAGGAAGCCAGAAGTTTTTAAGCAGGAAAGTGATTTAAGTAGTCTAAATCTCTGATTGCTGTTAAGATCTTTGTCCTTTGTGTCATGCGGTTAGACTACAATGTATCTATATGTAGATTTCTTTTTTTTTCAGTCTGCTTGGGACTTGTGCTCCCCAAATCTCAAATGCTCCCTAAATTTATATCTTTATTTCAGTTTTGAAAATGCTCAGTTATCATCTAAGAATTGCTCTCCTACATTGTCTTGTGTCTTTTCTTCTTAACTCCAAGTGTACATATGTTATACCTTCTCATTCTATCCTCTGTGTCTCTTAGACTCTGTGGGTGTGTTCTTTTTTTTTTTTTTTTTTTGAGGGGGTAGGGAGAGTGAGAGAGGGATGGATTTCTCTCTCAATGCTGCATTTTGGATAATTTCTTTAACTTTTTCTCAGTTCAGAATTATTTCTTCAGTGGATTTATTGAGTTTTTAATACTAAATGAGTAACTTTTTAGTGTTTTATTTGGTACTTTTTCAAATGTTCCAGGATCTTTTTTGATAGTGTCTTGTTCCATGCTTTGATTTCCTCTTTTGTTTCCTTAATCCTTTTAACCATACTTATTTTAGAATTTGCTTCTAATTCCATTATCGAATCCAGATTTTGCTGTTTGTGCTGACCTTCTTTTGTAGTGGTTTCCATGGGTGTTTTGTAATTTTGGATTGTGAACTCTTGTTCCACTGGACTTTATCTCTAGAAAGCCTAAAGCCCTGGGCTGATGGTATATACTCCAAAGAGGATATATGTTTGTTAATTTCTCAGTTTGTGGTTTCTTAGACTACAAGTTAGACTATATACATATAGTATAAATTGAAACCTCAAGCCTCTATAAGAAGGCCTGCAGTTACAAATTGTCAAAGGAGAGCCTTCTCCTCACCCCTGCACAGGCTGAGACAGACATGTTTTATTATTGTTTGTCTCCTTTTGCTAGCAAGCAGATTTTTTTTCTTAGTCTATCCTTGAGGATACCAACTTTATGTATTTTAACTCCCCATCTTGCATGAACCCAAGTCCTTGTCCCTGTATCTCCCACCTCAATGTACTTTCACAGGTGCAATTGTTAAAAACCCAAGGTTCTAAGCTACTGGCACCAGCAAATGCCTGTAGAGCAGCCATGCCTGCTTACCTCTCTGGTTCCCTCTTCTAACTTCCTATTCTGTCTTTACTTTTGTCATTCTGACTTTTCTTCCTTACTTGCAAGCTCAGGTAAACATTATTCATTTAAGAGAGATGTTTCTTTATCATTTTCAGGAGTTTTGTAGTAGAATTTTTTTTTTTCAGGATATTTATCCCTCCAAAGTATCAAGAAAAGAAAGAGCTGGTGAGGTGATTTATAGTTTTAATGTTCACTCTGTATATGGTATGGAGAGTGCCTTGGAGAAGGCCAATAGTAGAAAAGTAAAAACCAGTTAAGGTGACATTGTAGTAAAACAGATAAGAAACAAATATAGCTTGGCCTAAGGTAGTTACATAGGAGATGGAGAGCTGATTCTTAAAGTTAGCTCTTTTTTTAAGTATGAAAGCAACAATTTCTAATTTTTCTAGATTCCTACTTTGTACATTCCATGTTGCAGTCATTAATGAGTGTATGCAGCAATTTCTTCTCACTTTGAGAGTCATGCCACATCAGCAAATGAAGGTCCTGAAGCTTGACTCCATCCATGTCATTAAGGTTGACTCTACTTTGAGGAGGCAGTTCTTCCAAAGTCATCTTTAGAGTGCATTCCAACATGAGGGAGTCATCTTCCAGCACTATATCAGACAGTGTTCTACTGCTATTCATAAGGTTGTCACTGGCTAATTCAGAAGTAGACCACCAGATCCTTCCTAGTTTGTCTTAGTCTGGAAGCTCAGCTGAAACCTGTCCACCATGGGTGACCCTGCTGGTATTTGAATACTGGTGGCATAGATTCTAGCATCACAGCTACACGCAAGCCCCCACAGTACGACAAACTGACAGACACGTGAAATCGTCAGAAATGAAATGGATGATGAGTAGCATCTGGGGTCTTGAAAAGCTTGTGAGCAGCCATCTAAGATAGTCCACTGGCCTCACAATGTCTGGAGCAAGGGAGAATGAAGAAAACCAAAGATACAAGGGAAAGATTAGTCCAAAGGACTAGTGGACCACGACTACCTCAGCCTCCAGCAGACTGAGTCCAGCACAACTAGATGATGCCTGGCTACCTCCACAGACTGCTCTGACAGGGATCAAAATAGGTCCTGGACAGAGCTGGAGAAAAATGTAGACCAAAATTCTAACTCACACACACACAAAACCCAGACCTGCTGGTCTGACAGAGACTGAAGAAACCCCAAGGGTATGGCCCACGGACACCCTTATAGCTCAGTAATGAAGTCATGCCTGAAGTTCACCTTTCAGCAAAAGATTAGACGGGCCCATAAACAAAATGAGACTAAATGGGCACACTAGCCTAGGGGCAAAGACGAGAAGGCAGGAGGGGACAGGAAAGCTGGTAACGGGGAACCCAAGGTCAAAAAGGGGAGAGTATTGACATGCCATGGGGTTGGAAACCAATGTTACAAAACAATATGTGTATTAACTGTTTAATGAGAAACTAGTTTTCTGTGTAAACCTTCATCTAAAGTGCAATTTAAAAAAAATGAAATGGAACACATAAACGTTGATATCCTAGGCATTAGTGAGCTAAAATGAACTGGTGTTGGCCATTTTGAATCAGACAATCTACTATACCAGGAATGACAACTTGAAGAGGAATGACGTTGCATTCATTGTCAAAAAGAATATTTCAAGATCTATCCTGAAGTACAACATAGTCAGTGATAGGATAATATCCATACGCCTACAAGGAAGACCAATTAATATGACTATTATTCAAAGTTACCCACCAACCAGTAAAGCCAAAGATGAAGAAATTGAAGATTTTTACCAACTTCTACAATCTGAAACTGATCAAACGTAATCAGGATGCATGGATAATTAGTGGTGATTGGAATGTGAAAGTTGGAAAGAAAGAAGAAGGATTGGTAGTTGGAAAATATGGCCTTGGTGCTAGAAACAATGCTGGAGATCGCATGATAGACTTTTTCAAGGTCAACGACTTCTTCACTACATATGCCTTTTTTCAACAACATAAATGGCAACTATACACATGGACCTCACCAGTAGGAGTACACAGGAATCAAATTGACTACATCTGTGGAAAGAGACAATGGAAAAGCTCAATATCATCTTTCAGAACAAGGCCAGGGGCCAACTGAGGAACAGACCATCAGTCGCTCAAATGCCAGTTCAAGTTGAAGCTGAAGAAAATTAGAACAAGTCCACAAGAAGCAAAGTACAACCTTGAGTATATCCCACCTGAATTTAGAGAGCACCTCAAGAATGGATCGGATGCATTGAACACTAATGACCGAAGAGCAGATGAGTTGTAGAGAAAGCAAGAGGTCATTAGAAAGACAAGAAAGAAAAAAAAGACCAAAATGGATATCAGAAGAGACTCTGAAAGTTGCTCTTAAATGTGGAATAGCTAAAGTGAAAGGAAGAAATGATGAAGTAAAAGAGCTGAACAGAAGATTTCAAAGGGCTGCTCGAGAAGACAAAGTAAATATTATAATGACTTGTGCAAAGACCTGAAGAGAAAACCAAAAGGGAAGAACATGCTTGACATTTCTCAGATAGAAAGAACAGAAGAAAAAATTCAAGCCTCAAGTTGCAATATTGAAGTATTCTACAGGGAAATATTAAACAACGCAGGAAGCACCAAAAAAACATGAAAGGCGTATACAAAGTCAGTATACCAAAAAGAATTGGTTGACGTACAACCATTTCAGGAGGTAGCATATGATCAGGAACCGAAGGTAGTGAAGGAAGTGGTCCGAGCTTCACTGAAGGCATTGGCAAAAAACAAGCCTCCAGGAACTGACAATACCACTTGAGATGTTTCAACAAATGGTTGCCACGCTGGAAGTGCTCACTAGTCTATGCCAAGAAGTTTGGAAGACAGCTACCTGGCCAACCAACTGGAAGAGATCCATATTTATGCCTATTGCAAAGAAAGGTGATACAACTGAATGCAGAAATTATCGAACAGTATCATTCATGTCACACGCAAGTAAAATTTTCCTGACGAGCATTCAAAAGCAACTGAGAAGTACATCAACAGGAAACTGCCAAAAATTCAAGCTGCATTCAGAAGAGGATGTGGAAAGAGGGATATCATTGCTGATGTCAGATGATCCTAGCTGAAAGCAGAGAATACCAGAAAGATGTTTCCCTGTGTTTTATTGACTATGCAAAGGCATTCAACCGTGTAGATCATAACAAATTATGGATATTTCGAAGAATGGGAATTCCAGAACACTTAATT